TTTTTTTTTTTTTTTTTTTTTTTTTTTTTTTTTTTTTAGGAATAACTTTTCTAGAAATCTTTATAAAAGAGTAAAGAGCAAAAGAGGTCATGCGCGACATGCACTGTCTGTCAGTCCATTATCCTCTCTTGGTTAACAGCACCTACACTTTCCTGCCTCCTCTGCCTAGATATCCTGTTTGGGGTTAAACTCACCCCTAGTTCCAGAGATGGGCACATGATTCTGCGCGGCCAATTAGAGCCAAAGAACTTGGTCCAAGAATAAGCATGTCAGCCAACCTGGGTAAGGACATTTAGTCCAAGGACTTCTTCAAAAACTATCAGGAAATATGTGTGCGATATTTTCCTACCGTGATTGAGACAATGGTAAACTATAAGCTTGACGTGTATGCCAGTGGCCATTTTTACTATTGCAATGAAATAACATACTTAATAACGAAGCCATAACAAAGGAAGGCAAAGAAGCAGAGTCCTGATGATATGTGAGCATTTGTTTTTGTTTTGGGGTTTGGTTTTGTTTTTGGCTTTTGATTTTTGAGACAAGGTCTCACTATGTACTTCAGGCTGGCCTTCAACTCACTGTGTAGCCCACTCTGGTCTCAAACTCACAGCAATTCTCCTGCCTCAGCTTCCCAAGGCCTGGGATTACAGGTGTGCACCATCATGCCAGGTAATATGCTATTTTAGAACTTAGACTCAAGCCAACATTCCACATTTGTCCCAGTTACACACACCTATCAAGTTTCCTTTGCCCTTAGTAAAATTCTGTCATTTACAACTAGAAGGGCACTAACAAGTATCATTAGAAAGGAAAAATCATGGGGGAAAAAAGGAAAACTAACAAAGAAATGACAGTAATGGAGAGATGGGTAAAGGGTAAACACAAAAGAATTTACCAGATCCTATGGTTGAAGAATAATCTGATCGAAGCCCAACTGCATTGAAAAAGCACATAGAAATAGACTGTTGGTCCTAGCGTTTTGTTTTGTTAGAATTCTGATTAATAAAAAGTTACTTTCAGTCCTTCTTTAAAACAATCAAACACAAATGAAATTGTGTTTTAAGATAATCCAGTAACAAAGGGAGGCACTGTTTGGGTATTTAGAGATTTACAGCTCTAAATTGATAGTTTTTGAAGCTAAGAATACATTTTTTGAGAGTTTAGTAAATTCTTTTTACTTCTGTATCCTTCAAATTTCACAGTTACTATGAGTTCTAAACATTTCTTAAAGGTAAGAAAGCAACCAAGCAAATAAAAATAATGACTGAAATAGTTAATACAGTGTAGAATTTTCCACTAGAGATTTTTTAACAAATATTTATCATCCACTTACCATATACCTAGCAAATATAGCATACATATGTATGTGTACATATTATATACATACATACAACTATATATATGTATAAAACTAAGCCAAAGACAAATCTGCAAAAATAGTGGGCTACACAATGATTAAACCATTTATATCACTGTCAAAACAAGTGATATAATTTGCAATTTGATGGGGATATGAGGCAGGCCATTTTGGAACACTGGCTAATACTACATGATATAGATATAATTCTGTATAGACAGGAAAAAGACAAGATAAATCACTGCAAAATCCTTCATTTTCTAAGACTTTGTTCTGTGGGGACTCAGTTTGAAGGTGCATAACCAAAGTAAATGTAAGGTGGGCTACGTTTTTTAAAAATCTATTTTGTCTATCTTACATCTTCAATTCTATTCTTCAGTCATTGACTACATGTAACATTTAGCAGCTTCCTTAACGAATATAGCCCCAATGCCTTCAGCTAATCCTGTACCACTGGAATTGAGGGACGGAACACTTTATTACAGCACTGACTACGGTAATGGCAAGTATTAGAAGTGCTGCAAGAAGGAATGCTTAAAGGAGAATTACCCAACAATCACCATTTAGTACCACAGAGTCCAAGTCCACAGCCAGGCCCTGCAAGCTCCCCACAGAGGTCCGGTTTATAATGCTCGTCTGGATGGAGTCCTTCAAGATGGCTGCCACACAGTCCTCACAGAAAATGCTGCCTTTGGCATGTGGCATGACAAAAACAATCCAAAAGTGGACAAGGAGGCCACCTTTGTTGTTGCTGCTACAGTGAAAAGATACAGATGTTCAGGATTTGCCTCTTAGGAAGTAGATTTTCTCAGGAAGTCAAAGACCCAACTAAAATGTTCAAAGCTAATGAACACATCCTTTGATAAAACTCCACTTTTTAGGTAGCCATTGGCTCCTGTTACTGGAGATTTGAAAAGGAAAGCATCATATTACATGAATTCAGATCATTGTGTTGGATCCACATTTGGAACCATTACTGTACAGTTGCATCTCCATGGAGAATATACTTTTTTGTTTTTTTGTGTTTTGGTTTTTTTTTTTTACTGTCAAGGATTGAACTTGGGACCTTGCACTTGCGAGGCAGGCAGCAGCACCACTGAGTTAAATCTCCAGCCCCAAGAATATACTATTTCTATAGATATCAATCTCTATTCATTATAAATCCCAAAGCAAGGGACATACATTACCTGACATCTGCAACGACAGCCTGCTTATAAAATTTGGAGAAGGCAGATGTTGTATAAACAAGGTTTACCTGGGGGAAAAAAATAATGAAATTGTCTTAATTCACACTTGACTTCCGTGTTACCCAGTGTACTGCTTAGGCAACCTAGCTGAATTTCTACTTTGTGTTAACTGTTTTGTGTGTTTATTTGTTTGTTTGTTTATTTGTTTGAGATACCAGGGATTGAACCTAGAGCCTTTCACACTGGACTTTTTTCAACTTCTTATTTTGACACAAAGTCAAATCACTAAATTGTCCAGAGTTGACTTGAATTCATTATACTCCTGCCTCAGCCTCCCATCTTTTTATCCTTCTGGATAGGGTCTCTGAAGGACAGAAGTTTCTCTTCAGGTGGCCTAGTGAAAACTAGTTGGATAATATGTGACTGCCAGAGGGACCACCAGACAACCTCAACCTCTTACCTGCTTCATAATCTCATTTCTGACACACCCTCAGCACCATGACTGTTGATATTTGGTATGATAACAAGTGGGAAGAGCATGCAAAGAGGAGTTGTAAGCTAGGTAGAAATTAACAGGCAGTCAGAGAGGCAGTGATTCCTTGGGGAAGACACATGTAAGCTTCCCTAGAGGTAAACAGCAACTTTAGATTATACTGTTATTAGTATCGCTTGACCAGCTGAGCCCAGGTAAGCATCAGACGAATAGGAGGGGTGACCAGAGCATCTGGACCCATATTCCCCTCCCCAAAATGCCTTTCTTCATTCTACACTTAGAAGTTATAGATAAGTTGAAATTAATGATGCATGATGCTAGCCATATACCCTTGCTGAGTGCCCTACTTCCTTATTGGATCAATATTAGCTAAGTGACTATACTTACAAAACTGTAGGTTAATTACAGTTTGGCCCATGTTGTATCCAGGCTGTGATTTTGCTGTGTAAAATAACCCTGACAGCAGCCATCCACGTGAGACTCCTCCTTGAAATCCAGGAGCTATTTTTATTTCCAATAATACTCTCCTAACCTCCTCCTTTGGTTCAGGATTCCATTTCTGGATGTTCTGAGACCATGAACATCTAACATCTAATATCTAACATGTTGGGAGTTATTGTCCCCTATCATAGTGGTACCCGAATCCCCAGAAAATCTCTGTCCATTCCAAGAAAAGACATTAATATTCTTCACCTTTATTAACTTATTCCTCCCTCTCTTTTTTTTAATTTTTATGTTATATCTATGAGTTTCCTACCTCAGGTAGATTAAGAGGCTGACTTGTGAGCCTGTCTACAGCGTCTCCTATCCTTTGGCCAAGAGTTAACTTCCTTCACTGATCAATCAGTACTATGTCTGCTACTGGTTCCACAATCCCAAGAGGGAAAAAGGACTCAGTCTGGGTCAAAAACTGGGGTACAACTTTTACACTCCCTTGCATGTTCCAGGGCCATTCCCTGATAGCTGCCAAGGAGGAAAGCAAGCCTCTAAATATTCCAACCCTAAACCCAGACATTGTTTCTTAAATTACAATATATTAATACTGAAGCAATTCTTGGCTTACTTTCATTCTGTATATGAAGAATAGCTACCTTTATTTGTTTATTGCTCTCTTCAAAGACTCTAGTCGAGCTTTTCTGTGTTGTGCCCACTCCAAAATCTTTCTCCATAGTTAACAAATCAAACTCATTTAAGCCCATTTTCATCGTTCTGACCCCTTTTTTCTTAAGGACTCATTCCTATAACAGCCGCTAGGGGGCAAGTAGTTGCCACAGCCAGGTCCACCATTCCCCTTCTCTCAGGGAAGCACCCAGCCATTTTACAAAACGAAGCTCCGCAGGCCTTGTGGTAAAACAGTGGTATATTTGATTCCAGATCAGAAAGTTGTATATTCAGATTAGTACAGTTAGGGGCTGAGGAAGTCACTCATCTCCACTCACCTGAGCTGGAGCGCCACCCTCAGGCCATCCCTTCAATTACTCCCCTCTGCTCCCGAGCTCAGGCGTCCCCTTAGGAGCGTCCCACACAAACCCTGACCAAAGCACATGCAAGCCCTTTTTTTGTCCCCCTCTCTGTTGCTCTTGAGCCCAAGAGACTGATTTATCTGCTCAGCGTGAGTTCCTTTTCTGTCGTCCATTTCTCTGTGGCTTTCAGTAAATGTAATTACTCCCCCCGCTACACACACACACACACACACACACACACCCCGTCTACGATTTGCTCTTCATTACTTGCGGCACACAAGAACCTGGAATCTATCAGAACCACTACTATGTGGTAACAAAAGCACGACGGGGTCAGAAATAACACATTTTCCCCAGAACTCAACAATCGTATCTCAAAGGAGGGCTAGCTCCTTTAATCAATTTACCTTTCTTGTCATCTCTTAGAGTTCCTAAAACCGAACTCCTTCTCTCCTTTAGTCTTCTCCTCCTGTGTTCCTTTTTCTATATAGTAGCAAAAACAGCTAACTAATTGCCCAGGATAAACATTAAAAATCTTTACAAATGCGTAGTATGGTGGAAAACACATGAACGATGGAATTTAAATTCACTCTGCAAAACAGCATATTGTCTAAATCCACTGAGCCTCACCGCTTTGGTTGTTGTTGTTTTGTTTTTCATCAGTACAGTAGCGATTGAAATTCCTACCTCTGGGGATGCTTTGAAGGATAACTGGTGCACGTGTATTAGTGGTAAAGGGTTAGTGATGTGCCCAGTTTCCAGAAGGCATCGGTCAGTAAGTGAGAGCCACTGAGTGCTGTCTCCCACACGTGATATTGCCCTGCGCTGTGCCTGGCCCAGCATCAGGATCAAAGCCCAGCAACCCTTCCCATGACTGAAGAAATATAAACTGGCAGAAACTTTCTAGTTAGCAACATGTGCTAAGAGCCATGAATAAATATTTTTGTATTTACCCGTGTAACTATACTTTTAGGAAATCATCTAAGAAGTAGCCAGTAGTGTCCATGATTTATGTGGCAGTTTTGCTGTTTCTTGTTTCCATAGCAGCAAAAAAATGAAAACAGTTTCAATATCCAATAAAAAAGAATTTGCTAACTTTGAGGTGAACAGAGCTTATGTTTTTGGAAGAATATTTACTAACATAGAAACATGCAAAGTAATGTTACCAAGAAAAAAATCAGAGTATAAAACTGAGTACTAATACTCCATTATTGCATTATTTCCTATGTCAATGCAGCTCAGAATAAAAGGGGGCTTTCTCTCTAATGAAACATTAAATTTTTAGTTTTTTCACTTCTCTGAATTTTACTAAGCTTTCCAATAAATATTTATGAATTCTAAGTGAGCAATTTTTTTCCACAGCCAAGAGATTGCCAGTGTATCAATGTTGGAATAAACGTGCACAATCACAGAATTAATCAGTATTCGTGTAACATCAGAGCTGGAAATCATCTTAAGCATCACCTGACCCTGTTTCTTTATTTCGCAGGTAAGAAAAACAGAAGTCAAGAGAGCAGTTTCTTTTTCCATCAAGAAGAGGGAGGAAAGAAATTCTGTATTGTAGCACAGATGTGCTGAGTCCCATGCTGCCTTCCTCCAGCTCCCTCCATCCACCCTATCCTGTACTTCCCCTGACCCTTGTCACCGACCTCTCAGCTCCTAACCCCTCAGCACCCCCGGCTCCCGGCTGGCTTCTCCCACATCCCCTCCACCTCACCACTTGCTGCACAGTCCTTGCCACTGACAGAAATTCTCTGGACTCCTTCTGTCGGTGCTCGGGAAGAAACTCAACGTCGGTGATGCGAAACATCCCCACAAAATAAAAAGCATCTTTGCTTTCTGTCTTACCTGCAAAATAGGAGAGAAGGTGATTAGGGGATTTGCTCATGTGCGTGGCAGCAAGGCAATGTCTGAGCAGTGCTGGTCTGAGGCTCCTAAAATGATTTTATTTTAGCACCCACACATTACTCAAGCATATTCTACGAAGCTCTTCTAAAAGTACTTAATGGCATCTCTTCCATCAGCAGCAAATCACCCTATCTCTTAAAATGCTCTGTTCTTTCCAACCGCTTCTGCCAAATACTTACAGGCAAGATTTACATGTAGAAGCTATATTCCAGAGTCTCTAAAGAGTTAGAAAGAATATACACAATTTTCACGGGTTCCAAGTCTATGGAACGTAAGGAGATAAACCGTGTGCTACCAAGTTGGTCCTGTGCAGAGAGAAGGGAGCAACTCCTGTTGACCATCAGTGGAGCTTCTGTCCATCTCCTGCCTATGTGGCCTAACGTTCCAGTCCTGGGTCAATCTACAGTTCTCTCCAAGGCATGGAGAACTCATCCTTCCAGTGAGCCACGCAGTGTATCCTATGGCCCTTTGTCGGGTACTTCTCAAAGTCTATGCCCACTGAAGAACACAGGATTGAATATTAGGTCTGCTCAGAAATGTTGCACAGAATAGAGGCAGAGACAATGCTGTGGCTTTTGTATTGCCTTAGGACACCTGGGAAAGAGGCAGTAGCTACGGGAGATAAGAGCCTCTCCTCTCACCCTTCCCAGGTTTTTCTCCACTTCGGCACCCACCCCAGGTTCCCTTGGCCCTTGTACATTCCTTTCTGCAGCTGGCTGTGCCAGAGAAAACTCTCAGAGAAAATTGACAGCAACTTACTTTTTTTCCTTCAGGAGACAACTAGACAATGCCAGGATTCGTTTTGGAACTCAGCGTATGTTTGCAAGAAGGAAGGCAGGGAGAGAGTGGGTGGAGGGAGAGAGAACAAGAAGGTCCCCTGCTCGCACAAGGCCCACCACACAGCAACGCCAAATAAGTGATGGTTGAAGTAAAAAGAAGATGCAATTGGGCTGGGGATTTAGCTCAGTGGTGCTGCCACCTGTCTCGAAAGTACAGAGTCCAGAATTCAATCTGTGGTACCAAAAAATGAAAAAGAAGGAGGAGGAAAAAAGG